TTTTGCTTTAGTTTAAAGTGCAGTTGAGTAATGCAGTGGATATTAAATCCATTGATGTATGCTTTACATTTTATCATAATCAAAGTGGTCCATGCAAGAGTAGCCTAAGAATTATAGTATTAATTTAAATGCAATACTGTCTATTAGGGAAAAAACCTCAGAGACAACCTAATGTTTTCTTATTCTTTCTATGTAGTTAATTTAATGCCTAATAAAATTATATGTTTTTCTAATTTTCACAAATAGCAATTTATGATTTAGGCCCTACGTTTGCTCTCTGTGCTGAATCAAGACTGGAAATGGATCCCTAGAAGTAGAAGATGAGGTTTTATATAATTTTAAAATGCTTTAAAACACCAGTTAATTTGTTTATTTTCTTAGTAACTTGCTGAGTCAGCAGTCTTTAAATTAACCTAGTAAAATACGTGACTGTGATTTGCTGAAGGCTGATGTTTGGGAGCGTGGGACTCGATGCTTGTGAGAGCTGTCGAGCAGAACTTCTGACCCCAGCTGGTTTATGCAGCCTGGGTTCTGCTGGGTTCATGGGGACTGAGGATCCTTGGGGCTCAGCAGGGACAAAGCAGGAGCAGGACTTGCAGTGTCATGGCTGGCAGATATCTGTGTCAGGAAAATTAATCCACAAACACCAGAGGTTTATGTCCAAAAAGGAGACGGAGGAGTCCTTTTACTTTATTCGAATAAAGGGAGAGGCCATGGGGCATTCCCCTGGGGTCTCTCAAATTTTTGGAGGGCGCAGCCTACTTTTTTATCCTAATTCCCGGCTGCTTGTCCCTTCTCCCTTTCCCCATAGGCTGAGGTACTTGAGAGGTACAGGCTTCCCGGAATGCCTGACACCTGGGATACCTTCCCCCCCACCACGCATAATCCCTTTTTAATTCTTAGCTTTTGTGGAATTCATGATACTCTTTCCGTGCCTCTTTGATCTTTTAGTGGAATCCATCCCATTGTTTCTGTCGTCTCTCACTGATAGCTGCATCTTATCAACTGACCCACAGCTTGTTTGTAAAGACAAGCTCATCATTCCTCTCATCTGTGGTGGGTCAAACCTCTGCCGGGATTGAATTCCAAGCACAAGCACTGCTGGGGTAAGGCTTTGGTCCCAGGGCTGTCCCAAGCATTTATGCCAAAGAACCAAGTTTTTGGTGGCTCCATAGCCAGACCAGCTTGCACACACATGGCTCCTTGTATAAACAACTCAAATTCCAAGGAATGTCTCATTCTGTCCTGGAAATATGTGTTTTTCAGAACACTGTGCAGGAGATATCGCATTGCAGCTTCGAACATGGTCACAGGAGAGGAGGGGAAATACAGACAAAGGCAATTCTATTTTTTTAACCTTGTGGGCTGATCAGCAATTCTGTTTCCTTTTCAGTTATTTAACAGTTACTTGTGAAATCAGCATGGCTGGAGAAACTGCTGTGGGATCAAGGTTTGTGCATCAATTTTGTAAACTGTTTTAAGCAGAGTAACATGCTGCATATTTCAGCATTCCCACATGCTGTTTTTAAATTCTTTTGCCTCTGTTTTAACAGTAACTACTTTTCTGAGAATGGAATTAAGTAGTTTTTGGCAAAAATGTAGTAAGGGATTCTCTTCACCCCTCCTCCCAGTTTGTTTTCTGAGAAATTTCCCTGTTAACCATGGCACAAGAGAATAAGATTTACCCTTAATAAAAATCAGATTAATTTCCCAGTTATGTTGGTATCTTCATCACACATTTAATTTATTCTTTTTCCTTCAAAAACAAAAGAACCATGCTTTTCTTTCAAAATAAACTGACAAAATAGCTTTCTATAAATAGAAGGGGCATTTAAAGCTGTTAATTTAAACTTACACAGCAAAAGAGAGATGAATCCATCTAATCTTTTGGCAATTAAAAATGAATGCTACATTAATTAGAAAAAGGTCTCAAATTAATTATTCTGAATTAGAAATAGTAATCTGTACTAAAGTATTCCTTTAAAAATGTATGTATGTGGGAACTGAACCAGCTGGAATAGATCATACCTTGGACTGGGTTCCTGACATGGAGGGAATAAACCTGAGACCACGGGAGGTGGGATTCTGAAAGGATAAAATTAGGATGCTGCTGGGATCACTCTGTAATAGATCACGTCCCTGGTCTGTGTTGGTGATTGGACCCCCTGCCCTCAGGTACCCCTATTTATTGCTAGATTACCCACACCTCTGGGTCTTTGAATGCAGCCCTTTGGACCATGCAGTCCCAGTGAACACTAAAATCTATCTGTGGGTACTTCATCGTACCCATCCTGATTCATTCCACCACGCTGGATTATCGAACTGGACGAGAGGCCTCAGAACCCCATTGAGACATATGTATTTTTTATTACTTAATATTATTGTATTTTTAATAGACTGCATTCTAAAAAAAATAATAAAAAAATATCCAAGTACATAATTTCTGGGAGAATTGAAACATTGCTCTTTATTCCCATTTCTCTGTTACAGAATATATGAGGATTTGTGAGGTGGATTGTGCATTATTTGCCCTGGTTTCAGACACTGAATTTTGGTTATTTCTCCATCCCATCCCTGGATTTTGGTCCATTCTGAAGGTTGTATTCAACAGGAGGTAGCAGCTGTTAGGTTAATTCACAAATGCTAGCAGGATGTGTACAACCAAGAAATCTGGGAAAGGGAGGTAATTTCCCTATATCTAATAGTGTCAGGATTTTGGTATCTGCTAAGTTCAACTCAATGTGGAAATAACACATTAGCTTGACTAAATCTCCTGACTAAGACCTTTATTAAGAAATTATATGATAAAAATAACATGAGTAAATTGGGAATTTCTGTACATATTTCAGGAAGGGAGAAATACAGCCATTTAATAGAATGTGACCTTTAAGAAATACAAAATATAGCTTGAGTCAGCACTGCTGTTTTTCTGAACCTCAGATTC